CTAAAGCCCCATGTATCTGTCACTGCCATAGCAGAATTTGCCTTCGCCTCTGGTCGTCGTGGAGCGGATGCAGGTCGTCGGGCTCTGAGCGGTTTCTGTTTGACATGGAGCATATGCAATTCGTCTGTATTTGGGTTGTTCTGGTCGCGTGGAGAGAATGCAGGCTATCGCTTTCCAGGCCGTTCTCACCATACTGGATGATAATTATGGAGAAAGGAAGGATTGGTGGGGTTAGGCTTGGGATAGGGTCAGTAACCATTGATTACTGACCTATGAGTAACTAAATTTGGACCTTTAGATCTGAGTGGGTCCAGAAAATTCAGATCTAACGGTTGTCAATTAAAAACATTTTATTTTCCCTAGTTTTCTTAATCGGCTCTTATCTTCTTCGTTCTAACTTGGATTTCAATTTTTTTTGCACAGACGGAACGAGTTCTTTGTGCTCTACAAAATGAGATCAATTTTCAATATATTTCGAGAAACTTTTTGTTACCAACTACATACCATATGGTAACTTCTTTGTTTCTAAGTCATTTTTAAAAACGTTTGCTCAGAAGGAATGAGTTCATCATGATCTATTGGATCTATAAATTTCTGGGTGAAAAAAATACTAGATAAAAAATTACCATACTTTACCACTATGGTATGTGGGTGGTAACTTGTAGTAAACAATTATGAAAGTCGTAAATGATAGTTAGTATACTCCTACTATCATGTATTCAACCTTCTTACCATATTGGTATGTTCATACCATCATCGTAGACTTTCCTACCATATGGTATAAATAGGAGCATACCATATGGTAATGAGTGGTAAAAAATTATTCAATTTTTTTTTTGTACTAAAAATATATCAAAGTGTATATCATTTTAAATAGCACATTTAATATGATTTATCTGTGCAAAAAATAAATAAATTTCGACTTAAAAGGATAGAGAAATCGTCCGTTAAATATTAAAGGAGAAAAGATAAAAGACTTTCCAGTAGAGAAAGAATATCAATGTCATGCTGATGTGAACAGGTTACTCATGATTACTGACCTTATCCGTTTGCGGTGGGATTAGGGTTCTAATTTTCTTTTTTCTTATTCAATATTAATTATATTTTCATAATACCCCATTTACCCTCAACCCCCTATTAACTATCTAAATTCCTAGCCAAAAGAAATGCTTAAGCATTGGATGTCTAGCTTTGTTGAGCTGAACAAAACGACGCCTTCTCCCTTCCTCTCACATAAGCGAGCCACTTTATTTGGGCCTTCGAATTGCGGCATCATCTACGGGGCACTCATCCTCACTCTATGAACACATGTTTACAACATATGTGTGCAACGGTCTCATGATAAACATGGTCCATTACTGAAAGACATTTTAGGATCAAGAATCAAACCATTATTGTGTTCAGTCCATTTGGTCATCAACTACGGTTGACGGTCGCGGCGAATGCATCACTGCGGTTGGCAGCCGCGGTGAATGCCTAACCTAAGATTGAAACATCAAATGAACGTAACTTTGTGATCGGTTATCCGATTGTAGTGAATTTTTTTTTATTCTGCATAACTTTTCAAGATCTTTGAATCTGCAATAAGCCTTCATCCCAAAAAAATGGCTTTTGCTACCCCGAACGAGCAATTTATCGATTTTGACAAACTTTGGAAGACCATAACTTTGTGCTCCGCAATCCGAATGCCATGAAACTTTTTTTTATTTTGCATAACTTTTGAAGAACTACAACTTTGATTATAACCATAATTTTGGAATATATGTGGATTTGTGAAAAGTAAAGGCAAAGTTATTGAAAAAAATGAGTATACCCAAAAATATTTATTTTTTCTAAAAATCTTTCCTAGTAAAAGTTGTAGTCCTTAAAAAGTTATGCGCAATCAAAAAAACTTTATGACGTTTGGACTGAGGAGCAAAAAGTTATGGCCTTCGAAAGTTTGGCAAAATCGAAAAATTGCTCGTTCGGGGTAGCAAACAAGATTTTTTGGGATGATGACTTGTTGCAGATTGAAAGATCTTGAAAAGTTATGCAGATTAAAAAAAATCTCTACAATCGAATAACCGAGCACAAAGTAGCATTCGCTTGAAATTTCGGTGTTAGGTCAGACATTCACCGCTTTCGTCTGCCGCGGTGAATGCATTCACTGCGGTTGACTACTACAGTGATACCCAAACAGGTGTGTTTTGGGAATTTTTCATAAAACGTGTATTTTTTAAAAGATTTAAAAAAACATCTGTATTTTAGTATTTTTTCCAGTAACAAATCACAATGAATCATACAGTTATTTATTTTTTTGCTTTCCTTCCACCGTTCTAATTTTTCTCAGCGTCTAAACAGCTTCCTCCAAACTTCAATTTCCTCCATATCCATCCCTAACTGAGTAGCAGTATATGTATGTTAGAGACGAGCACAATACAAATGAAAAATTGAGTTGGATAATAATATCTCGGGTTAATATTTTCGTATAGGCTGAATTTTGACCAAAATAAATATCCTGGCCAATCTTTTCGATCTATACCATCCTGGCCCGAACTATACACCAAAATAAACAATTTGGCCAAACCCGATGTTTGATCGTTAACTTGGACGGTCAAACGCGTTGACTAACGGTTAACGCGCGCACGTCACTGCCACATCACTGCCAAGTCAGAAGATCTGATAAATATTTAATTTTTTCGTTTTTATTTTTTTAACTAGGGTATAAGATGATTTTTTTAATTTATAATAATTTAAATTACGAAATGTGTGGAAATTGTGAACTATTTTAAATATTTTATTCTGACTTGGCAGTGACATGGCGCGTTGACTAACGGTTAACGCGTTTGACCGTCCATGTTAACAGTCAAAAGTCGGATCTGGCCAAATTGTTTATTTTGGTCAAAGTTCAGGCCATACGAAAATATTAACCCTAATATCTCAATTCATTTCAACTTTCCCGCGATATGCTCGGATGTAGCCTCCATTCTTGAATCTCCAATGGCTGGCTTGTTTAAGGTCTCAAGAAGGGTTCAAGGTTCCGTCCCAATGAATATATAAATTAGAGGACCTAGATCTACATATTTGGAACTCGACGACTTGACCTTAGAGTAGTTACGAAGTTCACGCGTTTAAAATAAAAATAAAAATGACTGAAAAATGTAGCATTGGATTCTCTTGTTTCGATGCCACTTTTTTCGTTTTAATGGAGACCAAGATAGAGGTGAGTAAGAACGCAAAATCAAATCTAAATAAAAAGTATGCATAATGACTGATTACCAATTTTGTAATATTGCCCCATCATTTTCCTATTTGAGCACGAGCTCGAGAAAAATGACTAAAGACTGAAAACCAAATACGAACAAACAAATCAATGAGATCGAACTTGAGCAACATGAGTAAAGATTTACAACCAAATGCGAACACAAATAGATCAATTTGAGCATGACGAACAAATAAATTAATGAGATCGAACTTGAGCGAGGTAAAACCAAATACGAACAAATATATCAATAAGATCGAACTTGAGCGACCTGACTAAAGACATAAAACCAAATACGATCACAAATAGATCGGTTTGAACATAAAAAACAAATAAATCAATGAAATCAAACTTGAGCGATATGAATAAAGACGTAAAATCAAATATGAAAACAATAGATCGATTTGAGAATCACAACCAAATACGTAGACAAAAACAACAGCAAGAGGGATGAGGAAATGACAAAAGAGGAGGAAATGATGTGTGGGGTGTGGGCCCATCCTCATGGATCAATGACCCCAAACTTGAGATAAATTAAGAAAAAACGTATTAATGAACAGCACACGCCCAACTATGGCTTTTATATCAGAATAGTTACTTCTATAGGAATTTAGGCCGGGAAGTTTGGTACCGGTAATTGGGATATACCGAATACCGTACTGAATTTGTCTATATTTGGTATTACCGAATACACGTATTATTTCGTAGGATTGGGATTGGGATTGGGATTGAATTTCAATTGTTATTCTGTATTGGGGATTACGGGATTGGGATCGGTATTACCGAAATACCGATCAATACCGAAATATAAGCTAGTGTGTATTTTATCCTCTCAACTAGACTCTCTCATTCACTACTACGCGAGCCTTAACCACCAAGAGTGTCATTTAATTATACATAGATCATTACATCACTATTTCACACTAGTATTAGTTGCCTCTCAACCTCAAATTCGTCAAATTAAAGATTACCAATTACAAGAACTTGAGATGTTAGCTCTAGGCAACTCAAGACTCTTTGCTTAGTCTTTTTGCCCTAAATTAAACAGTAAAATCTATTTCATATATTTAATTATTAATTACAAAGGTAATTAATTTTGTATTCGATAATACCGATTGGGATACTGAGGTACCGATTGGGATACCAAAATATTTAGGGATTGGGATTGAGATACCGAAATTATTTAGGGATTGAGATTGTGATTGATTTTAGGGTGTAATTCGGTATTCAGTATTTCAATATTTCGATATTTGGTATTGGGATACCGATACTATACCGATTTCCACCCTATAGGATATAGGCCACTGAGGATGTAGCTGGTGTCTCAAGAACACTGATCTACACTAAAGCATTTCGTTTGCTACCTGTTTTATTCTATTGATTACATCTGGGCTTGATGCTGTTATTATTCATTGATTCTAAATGGTTATTTTTTATGAATTGATGCTGAAATTTTATTCCTCTTTAACTGTGGGGGTCTATAGGAAATGGACTAGCTCCTAATGATTACACAAAGAAAAGGGTTAATTGCATGGTTGGTCACTGAAATTACAAAAAATATTCAAGTTTGGTTACTCAAAATATTTAAATCCATTAGTGGTACTTTAGTTTACTGAAACAGTTCACGTTTGGTCACTCTCCGTCCAACTCCATTAACTTTTGCTTACGTGGCAGTCAACTCTAAAAGTTGATGGTTAAATGTGTGACATTGCAATTTAAAAATAATAAATTTTTTAAAATTTAATTTTTTAAAATTTCCAACTCATTTCTAACTATTAAAAATAAAACAATATTCATAAAAAAACAACTATTAAAGATAAAAAAAAAAAAAAAAACAGATAAGCCGACCACAACCAGCTCTGGAACCATCTCGGCGTCCCTTTCCTCCCGCAGACCGGCGATGGAGCCAACCTGGGAGATATCGGCCTCGTCGCGAAGCTCAATCATCATCAGGCTCCTATTGATTACAACAAATCATTAGGTAATTAACCAATTCTCCATCTTAATCATTAATCTTGAGAGATGGAAATGAATTCAGATTTGAAATTCGTGGTTCGTTTGTTCTTAATTTTTTAATTTATGCAGTTGCTGCTGCGCTGACCATGACGCTGGACCTTCTACCTGGCATCAAAAGCTCGTCCAATCGGGAGGTGGAGAGCAGCGACGGGAAGCCATTGTCGTTGCCTCGATTCGTCGGATATGGATATACGGCGTCCGGAGGAGGACATGTAGCAAGAAGTAACTTCCCGTGGCTTGGGACGGCGAGAAGAGATAGCATTGTCTGATTTGGCCTGGTAGGGTTCTAGTTTTGCGGCGTTGGCCACGCCTCGCGCACAGAAAACCTCCGCCCGATGGAGGAAAAAAGAGCTGGAAATTAAATAGAGAAGGAGGGATTCAGTCTTTTTCAGTTTTTTGTTTTATTTTTAATAGTTGTTTATTTGTAATAGTTACAAATGAGATGGAAATTTTAAAAAAATAAATTTTATTAAATTTATTATTTTTAAATTGTCACGTCACACATTTAACGGTCACCTTTTAGAGTTGACTGTCACATAAGCAAAAGTTAACGGAGTTGGACGGAGAGTGACCAAAAGTGAACTGTTTCAGTAAACTAAAGTACCACCAATGGATTTAAATATTTCGAGTGACCAAACTTGAACGTTTTTTGTAATCCCAGTGATCAACGATGTAATTAACCCCAAAGAAAAATGAAAGAAGAACCAGAACAACTATAAAATCTACATTTCATGGAGGGGTGAGTGTTACAACCAAATAGCATTGTATGAAGTGCTTGAATTTCGTTGCCAGAGACCTCTTTGTGGAAAGCTGCCCGTTCACAGATTGAGTAGCTAATTTTTTCAGTTGTAGTGGCTATATTTTCTTTCTTGTCTTTGAAAACTCTTGTATTCCTTTCAATCCACAGAGTATGTGTTGAATGGTAATTCGCAATAACTGAAGGTAATTATAAAATCAATCATGAACCCACAACCTGTCAATGGTGATGAAATTATACAACCCACGTGAAGATAAGAGGCATTTTTAATGCATGGAGCAACTTTGGTTGAAGACCACATGCATCTGCATGTAAGTGAATTAAAAGAGAGGTTGACCCATGTTAGTTGTCATCCCATTTAAGAAAGGGCCATTTGCATTATTTAGTTGTCTATGTTTATTGCATGGTGAGAAAGAGCATGTGGTGTGTTTTGTTTATTGTATTTCATTACAATTATATGTGCTTATATATGTACCTGTGTATGGGCAGAAGTGAAGATGTTAGAGACATACAAAACAAAAGAAAGAAAAGAAAGGAAGTCTCTGCAGTGTGTGTTTGTAAAAAAACAAGTGCCAAAAGTTAAGGCCTTGTTTGTTTGAGTGAATCATAAATTGAGTGATTAAACACCAATTGTTTCCTTTGTGTTGATCCTAAATTACCATTACTTCCGCAAATACCCAACAAATTTGGTATCAGAGCTAATACCCTTATATCCTCTCAAAAATCCCCAAATTTCTAGCCTACACAATTTTTCTCAAAAAGCCATGGCAACAACTTCATCACATACCATGTTTGCTACCTCATCAAATCAAATTCCCATTTTCGATGGAGAATTGTACGAGTACTGGAGTGCCCAAATGGAGCCTATTTTCATCTCTCAAGATCTGTGGGATATCGTCCAAGAAGGCTACGAAGATCCACAAGACGAGGATGAAGATTCTAAGAAACGAGCAAGCAAACAGACAAAGGAGTACAAGGAGAATGCCAAGCAAAATGCCAGCGCCTTGAGAATAATTCAGCAAGCAGTGAGCAAATCGATTTACCCGAGAATCTATGGCATCAAAAAGGCCAAAGAAGCTTGGGATGTCTTGCGTGAACAATTTCAAGGTTCTGAAAAGGCAATCTCTATCAGGCGCCAAAGTTTATGGCGACAGTTTGACAACTTGATGATGAAGGAAACCGACACCATCAAAGACTTCCATTCACGTGTGGCGGAGACAGTCAACCAGATCAAAGCCACCGGTGACGTCATGGAAGAGAGGAAGGTCGTGGAGAGAATTCTCCGGAGCTTATCATCAAAGTTCGAGCATATTGTTGCTGTCATTGAAGAAACCAAAGATTTGGCAAATTTATCAATGAGCGAGTTGATGGGCTCACTTGTAGCGCATGAGCAAAGAATGAGCCGATTCACCAAACCGCCATTGGAGCAAGCTTTCTCGTCAAAAGTCAACATGATGGAAAGTAAATATGCCAGATCGGAGCAAGGCCAGAGAGGGGGAAACTCACAAGGGAGAGGAAGAGGAAGATCCAATTACAGAGGAAACAACAGGCAAAATTATCAACAGCAAAAATCAGGCTACACCGGCTCGAGTTGCATAATTTGCAAAAAGGCAGGCCATGCAACAAAAGATTGTAGATTCAAGTGCACCAAGTGAAAAATTCAAAACCACTCCCAGAGAGATTGCTGGTTCCAGAACAAGCAAGAAGAAGGCGAGTCAAGCGGCACCAAAAATGAAGAAAGCAATATGGTGGCCTTATCATGCTTGAATGGTGAGCAAAAATTACAACTTCCCTGGATGGTGGATAGTGGTTGCAGTAACCACATGACTGGAGATCTGGAGTCCTTCAGCGACATCGATGACCAATACCGCTCTCAAGTCAAGTTGGGAGACGGGAAGAAGCTAAAAGTGGAAGGAAAAGGCACAGTTGTTGTATGCACAGAAGAAGGCAACAAAACTCTCATTCGAGATGTTTTGTATGTTCCGGAGCTAACTCTCAATCTACTTAGCGTGGGACAACTGATGCTGAAAAATTACAAGCTATTGTTTGATAATGGCGTGTGCGAGATTATCAACAAAGCTGACAATTTCATGGTGGCCAAAGTCCCGATGACTTCCAACAGAATTTTCTCTCTTGCTATATCACAAAATGGTGAAGTAGCATTCAAGAGTGAAAATCTGGATCAATCCTTCCTATGGCATCTCAGATATGGTCATCTCAACTTCAAAGGTCTCAAATTATTGAGGCAGAAAAATATGGTGGTGGGACTTCCCCAGATCAACAGAGAAGACAAGATCTGCGAAGGATGCATTTATGGCAAAATGCATCGTTTACCATTTCCAAAGACATCTTGGAGAGCAAAAGCGCCACTGGAGTTGGTACATGCAGACATATGCGGTCCAACTCGAACACAATCACTCAGCGGTAAAAGATACTTTCTACTATTTGTAGATGACTTCACCAGAATGATGTGGATATTCTTTCTGGAGCAAAAGTCGGAAGCTTTTCCCAAGTTCCTTCAATTCCAAGCAGTAGCTGAGAAGGAAAGCGGCCATCAAATCAAAACTCTCCGTACAGATCGTGGAGGAGAATTTATTTATACTCCATTCATGGAGTATTGCCGCAACAACGGGATAAAAAGGCAGCTGACGGTCCGTTACACACCACAACAAAATGGCGTGACAGAACGGAAAAATTGCACGATTGTGGAAATGGCGAGAAGTATGCTCAAAGCAAAGAAGCTACCCAACAACTTATGGGCAGAAGCGGTCAATACAACAATTTACATCCTCAATAGATCACCAACCAAAGCAGTTCGGAACAAGACACCGATACATGCGTGGCACCACAGGAGGCCACAGGTGGATCACCTCAAAGTCTTTGGGTGCATAGCTTATGCACATATTTCTACCCCAAACCGAGACAAGTTTGACCAGAAGGGTGAGAAGCTGATTTTCACCGGCTACAGTGATGAATCCAAAGGCTATCGTCTTTACAACCCAGTAAAGAACGAAGTGGTGTTTTCCCGAGATGTGATCTTTGATGAGATGGCGGAGTGGAATTGGGAAAATCCAATTTCTCAATCTCCACCAAGTTATGAAATTTTGGAGGACTCTGCAACTCCAGAAGACCCCAGCAACGACCCAGATCTAGTTGCTAGTCCAGAAAGAAATTCTGCACCTAGCCCAGAAGGAGACAACTTTAGAGACGTCGTAACAGACTCGGATTCACCTCCGTTGAGAACAAGGTCTTTGCGAGAAATTTATGAAACAAGTCATGTTGCATACTTTTCTTGTGAACCTCGAGTCTTTGAAGAAGCATCCAAAGAAGAAGTTTGGAACGAGGCAATGGATGCAGAAATTTCCATGATCGAGAAAAACAAGACATGGGAGCTTGTTGATCAACCGGAGGGCAAGCTGGTTATAGGTCTCAAATGGATCTATAAAATCAAATTCAATGAAGATGGTACTATCCAGAAGTACAAAGCTCGTCTGGTGGCAAAGGGCTATTCACAACAGCCAGGTATTGATTTTCATGAGACATATGCACCAGTAGCGAGGATGGAGACCATCAGAACAGTTCTCGCTCTAGCTGCTCAACTGGAGTTACCAGTATACCAGCTGGATGTCAAATTAGCATTTTTGAACGGATAACTGGAAGAAGAAGTCTATGTGGAGCAACCACGAGGCTATGAAAAAAAAGGAGAAGAAGACAAAGTCTATCGTCTCCGAAAGGCTTTATACGGGCTGAAGCAAGCACCGAGAGCATGGAACAGCAGAATTGATCGATATTTTCAGCAAAACGGATTTCAAAGAAGTCCGAGTGAAGCATCTCTCTACATCAAAAAGGGAGAAGGAAAAGATTTTCTAATGGTTTGTTTGTATGTTGATGACTTGATTTACACAGGTACAAATCAACATATGATCGAAGAATTCAAAAGTACCATGATGAAAGAATTCGAGATGACGGACTTGGGAGTCATGAAATATTTTCTTGGGATCCAAGTGAAGCAGTCACCTGGAGAAATATTTATTTCACAGGAGAAGTACACCGAAGATATGCTGAAAAGATTTCACATGGCAACGTGCAAACCAATCTCAACACCGATGGCGTTAAACGAGAAATTACAACGCAATGATGAAGCTGAAAAAGTCGATGGAAAGCTGTACAGAAGTCTTGTCGGGTCACTCATTTACCTGACACATACCAGGCCGGATATATGTCATTCAGTAAGTCTTATATCAAGATTTATGAATGAACCTAGCAAACTTCATTTTGCAGCAGCCAAAAGAATTTTGCAGTATCTTCAAGGTACAAAGAAATTGGTCCTGATGTACAAGAAAGAAGCTGAAAGCAAGCTGACCGGATATACTGATAGTGACTAGGCAGGAGATGATCGAAAAAGCACATCGGGGTACATATTTTGCTTGGGTTCAAAACCCATTTCATGGAGTTCAAAGAAGCAGAAGACTGTGGCTCTATCTTCAGCGGAAGCAGAATATATCGCAGCTA